TTGCCTCATATAGAGGTCTGTACATTCCATTTTCATAAATTATTATCTCTGGCATGATGGGAAGGCTTGTAAAATTTGAACCAAGTTTCGCTTTGTCCTAGCAAAGAATATACTCGCTGCGAACGCTTGTTGGTTAATAGTGAAATTGCAAAACGCAGCGCGTTTTATATGATAGGTGTCCCGCCGAGCCTATGGGGTGTCGTCTGTCAATCACCGGCCTGTCTCTCATCCAAACTGAGAACTTTAATTTAAGTGTCATAGATGATCAAGATCATGTTTCGAATATGCCATTTCATAAAAAAAAAACAATAAAATTATAATCAAGATAAGCAATATCGATCAATAGTGTAAGAAACATACTTTTAAACCTCCGTCTATGTTTTAAAAAGGTACAATGCGTATGGTGAATAATAACGACACGTTTGAATTACCCAACATCGAGTTACATATTTCCAGTAAATTCTGGACTATGTCTTCGAGGACTGTCGAGCACGAAGTACCCAAAAAAAGTCACTAGCTGCGGTGTATGGGAACTAATAATTACACCTTTTCATTTTTGTCGCTATAGAATTTAAGAGGCATTTAAGAGGCATTTTTTTCTTAAAATAGAAAACAATCAAACTCATCACAGCAGTAGCGTATGGCCCAATTTYAACTTTATATTGCAAAACAATCGTATATTTAATAGATAACAGGACGGGACCAAGAGTTTTCCAGCAAATTCTCAAGGAAAGAATTAGGCAAGGAAATGGGTCACACGTACCATTTATTCATTTCCACAATTTTGAATACTTTCCAGGTACAAAGTAAAAGGTCACGTCCGAGGGCGGGACATTGTCTGGATAGTTTGTAATCACGCCTCGATGTACTGATCAAAATAGATATGTACAAAAATAGARTGAACASACTGAATCCATGAAGCTTAAATAGTACAAAATAACATTAAATTCTGCTAATTCACGTTCACTCTATCACCACTCAAATAACTATCCTATCCCAATAAAATTGAAAAAAATCTGGAATCAGATGGTTTATTCTATTAATCAGTGCATAAAGCGGGATTGCAGAGTGCTCTAGTGAAGGTTATTGTCTTCGCCAGACTTTAAGCCATACCTGGCCTCGGATGTTTTGCAAAATTTAGCAATATCTCGGATATAACAACATTCCTTCACGTAATGTTTAAAGGCCGACAATGAGGACTTGACGGGGTTTCAAAGACAGCGCAATTAGTTCGAGTCGTGAGGGAGTCAAAAGACCTTTTTTCACTAAATTAATGTTAAACTGATTATTTCTAATAATTAATTTGATTATCAT